ATGTTTAAGTACACTGAAATCTGTGATTGCAAAATAGACGAAAACTGATAGTAGGATGAGGAATTGGTGGAAGTTATTAAAAAGCCATCGAAAGTGTACACTAAAATGCAAACGATGCAAGAGTCAAAGTAGCAACTTTAAAGCAATCGAGCTACCAAATAGAAAGTTAAAATGGTTCATGGACGAAAACAGTCGGTACATCATCTTCCAATTAAAATCTTGCGAAAAGGCAAAACGTAGTTGCGGTGTTTCGTATTGGTGGCAAAAATGGCTTATAACTTATTCGCAGTAAGCACTGGGTTTCGTAAGTAATGTACAATCTTTCCGCTAGGATACTGGCAAGAGTAATCAAACGCATTTAGCCACAAACTTTCGGCCTACAGAATCTCCTTCAAACATTAATTCGAATGGAAAATAGAAACTGAGAGACAGGCATAACATTTCTATATTAAGCTAGGGCAGAGTATCATAGACAGGAAAGGAGGAATGTCAGCATTACATTGCATTCCGATCTCAGCAACAAGGAAAAACTAGGCGTTTAATTTAGTCCCAACTCACATAAGCTGGAGTTTTGTCAAGCTCCACATCTCCCAGCCGCCAAAATTGAATCCAACGACGAGACTTTTGATCTGTGGGACGTACTGCAAAAGGGTGATTCTCACGGAGGCTACAACTCATGATTATGAAAGAAGAGACTTAGGCTCTTATGAGAATCAGAGTAACGGACACTAGTTACTTACAGGATGGAAGCTTGGCAATAGATTCACCACGAGGTGTCAGGTAGTGAAAAGTGTTCAAAGAGCTTTGAGATGCTAGGGGAGGAAGATAAGCCGATTCACACAGATATCGATGTTTGGTTGCTCAGTGTCACTAATAATTTAGCCTGCTTTATTACTGTACAAGACCACAAGATGTTATGCAACTGTTCAACAGTTTGAAAATGCGTTCAGCAATAAGTTGGACATCATAATTCATTATTTAAAAATTAACCGTTCGCGCACTTACACAAGTAGAGGCTTTCAATTTAGGATTGCTCATAAAGCACTGACCGGGTTTCAAATACCACTCATAGATTAATGCCTAGTCGCCTAGAAGTTGTCAGTCATGTACACTTCCGTCTGTTTACACATTTACCAACCACACTACACTCGTAATAAAAGTAGTCTAAAAGCCTCAACGTGAAGTACCATAATTAGCACAAAGCAGTTTCAATAATAACTAATATGCAATACCCAAAAAAACATGTAAATTTGTAGTTAGACAAGCAAGGAAGATTTTCGTTAATGTAGGATGAAAAGAAAATACCATTGAGATTGACAAGAGAATGTTCAAATGGCGGGGAGAATGGAGATAGTATTTCTCCCCTCAAAAATGCGTCAAGATACTGTTCAACTGAGACGCAGGCGCTAGGTTCCACAAGTGGCTTATCTACCTTCCAACCTAAACAAAGGTCTAGAAAACAGGCATATCATAAGCCCATCGCACCCATAAAAGTATCGATTATTAAAAGAAATGTAAGTACCCACTAAAGCCAAAAGACCGCGCTCAAAAGCAACAGCAACGATGCCATCGAAAGGAGAAATAGATTCGCGATCCACGGCAATTGCATGAATAGCTTCAGCCCTTCCACGAAGAGAGATGACTCGGGTGAACGTGGCTGACTTTTCATCGCTGAGATTTAGAAGGCAAAGAAGAGACCTTATGGGCCTAAGGTTCTGCGAAGGTACGAAGAGAACAACAATAAATGAAGTAGATGGTAGAAAAGTGGCCTCTGCGATTATCCAGGACTGAGGAGCATCGAGTGGCCAGTTTTCCAATGAGGAGAAGAAGGCATTGACGTTGGATGGCGTCCATGAAAACTGTTTGCCGTTAGCGAACTGACAATGGAGACGATTAGGAGAGTAAGCGCAGATTGTGGAACCAGTCGGAGTGAAAATGAAGTGTGGCAGCTTGGTATCATGGTCGAATAAGTCCGCGGGTCGAATCGAACCATGCTCAATGACCAGGTCGTCGCAATCAAAAGAAGCTGAGCAAACAGAAGATTCCACGGATTGCATGACCACTGAGTACTGAAAACACACAAAAGTTTGACAATAGCACACAGTATTGCCAAAAGAAGTGAGCAAATGTATTGACGCAAATAATGATAAATTACTAAACCAAGGTCACATCAAGCTATTGATTCAGCAAAGAAAAAGAAAAGATCATATTTTTGTGGAGTACAGTTTGCAGTGCCGTACACACGTGACAATGTCGCGGCAATTGGCTAATTCGTAATGTAGTTAAGTATTTGAATGGTATAACATATTGATAATTTTAACAGAATGTAAAATTTTACAATATAGCTATTTTAGACCCAAATATTGTCAACGGTGCCAAAAACGGTCAAGAGCAATGTGGTAGCGAAAGCAATTATCACTTAAGCAAATAGGATGACATCTATCACTACATATACCGAGTGGCTAGTCCCACCAGTTATCAACTCCTAGAATCTTGAAGACTGATACTTAACCTTTATGCTGCAGATTTCGCCCAGTATCTTTGAATGCACCTAGATAATGGATATCGCCTTCAGTACAATGTGTGTGCGAGTGCAGAGGTTGAAACATACTCCTAAAAGCTGCTTTTTAAAAGAGGAATTTGAATCCTATCAGTCTCGCATGTGAAAAAGTTTTATGAACAGGTTCAGCTGTAACAGCTGTTAACAGTTTGCTTGTGTGAGGCAGAAGTCAGTCTCAGTTTCTCTTTTTTAAAACGCTAGGCGGTCCTCCCTTTTATACCAAATGCAGCATATTTTGCATCACGAGGTCAGAACTATAGCCCTGTGAAGGGCACGTTAATTCAGGCAAATAAATATCCTGCAGTATATAAAAGCCGTCGTTTTAACGCACTATGTAGTTCATTGGCAGCCCATAGAATATCTACGTGAGCTTCACTTTGGATTGAATTCCCCCCTGCTGGAGTAGAGATGCTCTCACCATCTTGACCCATCAAATTAAACGTGTGTAAGCAAG